GAGTCCCTTGCCCTTGCTCTCAGGTATATCAGAGGCTGAGGTCTGGAGCAAGGTGTGTGTGGAGGGGGCGGTCCTTCAGAAAATAGCCTATATTTCTTTACTAGGCCTAATACTTGGTGACATTTTTCTGACTTTGAGAAGCATTTCCAGCCACACCTAACATCTTCCTGAAATTTATAAAGTTAATATCTACTTTCAGGACACAGCAATACTGAGCCTGGAACAGAAATCTTTTTCTCTGTGTGCACCAGGGAAAGGGAGAGTTTGTGATTAGCTTTGATTCCTGCACCGCTCTACAGACAGTGTAGCTGGACAGTTTCAGGCTCTGGCTTTCCCAATTCCCTGGGTAGTTTAGGCTAATATAGGCCTGTGAATGAGAAAGATTGGGGTTGGGGGAGTAAGTGGATATTTTGCAGGGACAGAATTGAGGAGGCCTGGGTATGTGGAACGTGGTTGCGTTTGTGCTACAGAGCCCACAGTGCCCTGCCACATAACTCCTTTTCCTCCTGCTATAAAAGGTTCTTAACCAAGTTGCCTGCAATTACATAGCCCAACTCTTGCTGCTGCAGTAGTATAATGCATTTCTCCCTCTCCAGAGAATACAAACCTGGTCCACTACACAGTCTCTATGGCTGGATATACTTGATGGTGGCAGACTGGCTGGGATGTAGATGTAGAAGGAACAGCAGAAGGTGGGGTAGATATGTACCTTATGGACTAAATATTTAGTGAGTCTATAAGTCTATATTTACATCTCTTCTATGGATCATTTAAATATCTGGTCAGTCTATAAGGTGCATATCTCTCCTGCCATCTGCCTGACTTCAGACTAACATGGCTAACTACCTCTCTGCTCGTGGAAGGAATGACTAAGGTTCCAAAAATAAGATGTCTGAAGGTCTTTTGGCCAATTTCACATTTCTGAAATCTCAGAAAACAAGGGACCTAGCTACTGTATTGACCAGCAAATTCTGCAAAGCAATGACTCAAACAGCAGTTTTTTGTCAGGGTCAGACATGTCCAGATCTTAGGCATTTGAGTCAAGCAAAATGAGTCTATGAGGCCCTATATGAGTCTGCCCAATGCATGAGGGAGCCTGGCAAATCCAAAGGAACTGACATATACTCGAGCAGTGTTTTCTGATTTCCAAGCCTTGTCTCTCTAACACAGACAGACATAGGATGCGGTTTGTAAACTGTCAGCCAGCTCATTATAGGTAACCTTTTTGGTCCCATGAAAATGCTTTCTAGTAGGGCTGTGCGAAGCAGCACCATTTTGTTTCGACTTCCATTTCACCGTTTTGAAGGGACAGTGTTAGGTTGCACTGATTTGAAGCACTGTTTGATTTTGTTCTGTTGAAACTGGTTCACTGTTTCCAGGGGTGACGTGCAGGGGGCCTTCTCGGGGCTGATTTCCCTATGGCCCACCCACCTGTTTCTGGGCTAACCGCCTGCCTTCTCGCCCACTACGCCTTGATGATAATTAATTAATTGATGTTGATTAAGTGGGAGGCTGCCCGTTTCTTGCCCCGATGCCAGGGGGCACTGTCTATGGCTCCCTTCCTCCCCTACACTGCAGCCCAAGCCTTGCAGATGGCATCCAGATGTTATCAATATCACCAGCCCCACACTGGGCCCCAGAATCCTACTAGTTGAACCCCACTTAGATCCCTCCATTCAGGCAGCCTATTCTGCCTTCATTCCTGGCTGCATAGCTCCCTGAGCTGCTCCCCCTTACAGCTGTGGTCCCCCCTGGGACCTTTGGCTACTAGCCCTGGCCTGCCTCCAGGCACGCAGCTCTTGGGTGTCCCTCGCGGTGGGCCTCCCCCCGGCCCTTCGACCCTTCCAGTCCTGGCCCCAGCGCTGACCAGTCAGGGGATGTTCAGACAGGTTCTTGAGTTTATGGCCTCATGCTGTCTTTGGGGTCCACCTTCCAGACCCTACTAGAGGGTGACCCACCTGGTTGTGGGAAGTGGAGTTAAGGCACCCTGACCTGCCTTTCATCAGGCCCACCAGGCCACCCTCTCCCAGCAGGGTGCAGTTTTACGTCATGCCCAGGACCAGGAGCCTCCTGACCATCCCTTACAGCTCCTCCCTTACCTCCAGAATACCAGCAGCCCTGCAGCCAGCAAAATGCCCTGTTTATATGGCAGCCCTGAATCTAAAATGGCTGCCCTCATCAGGCATCTGCTGTCTGCTGTCTTCTGCCCCTTAAAGTGGCAGGCACAAACAGTGCCCTGCCACAGGGGTGCACATGGGTGCACATGCACCCCCTGCAAAAAGGTGCCACCGACACCATCAGTGGCACCTGTGGGTGGTCGCCATTCGCCACCCCCCTGCTGACACTGCCGTCAGTGTCTGCGGGCAGTCCATGATTGCCCTGGCCGCTGTCAACACTACCGGCGGTGCCTGTGGGTGGTCGCCAACCCCTAGTTAGCGCTCGGCACTCCCTTCCCCCCCACCCCGCCGCTACCAACAGCGCTGGTGGCATCTGCGGGAGCTCCCAGTTTACTGCCGCTGGGCTCCCACCACCATGTTCCTGCCACTGCCAATGCAGCCGTGCCCCCCACAGCGACGGGGGCACGCACCATTCATGGCTGGTTTGACACGTTTCAATGTTTTGCCTATAGTCTATAATGGGGAATCATGAAAATGCCTAGAACTTTGTCATTTCTTTCCTGATTCAAATGAAAATTGCACGGGTGGTAGTGCCTTCTGAGGACATGAAGTCTGGCAAGTTTCAAGGATGTAGGTGCAGGGGTTTCTGGGAAACTGCACCTCAAACTGTTCAAAGCAAAACATCACTTTCTGTCAGCGGCAGCTTGCTGTCATCTCACACGCAGAACTGGCTGGGGGCAGTGCCAGCACTGGGTTCTTCCCAGCGCTCAGCATGGGCTGCACCAGGAAGAACCCAGTGATGGCGCTGGTCTCAGCTGGCAGCGGCAGCATGCTGTCATCCCATGTGCAGATCTGGGGCCCTGCACCCCCCGGAAGGAGTCTGGTACAGCCCCACAGCCCTCCTGGGGAGTGCAAGCCCCTGCATCTGGGCACAGGGTTTCAGCAGGCTGCTGCCGCTGGCTGGGGAAATAGCCCAGAGCCACCACCCTTACTAGCTGGCAGCGGCAGCCTGCTGTCATCCTGCATCATGCAGGAGCCTGTGCCCCACCTGGAAGAGCTGGGTGAAGTGATCAGGGAGCTGGGGAATCCAACTGGGAACTGGGGAAATGTTCAGGGACCTGAACATTCCTCCAGCTCCCTGTTCGATTCCCCAGCTCGCTGATTGCTTCCCCCAGCCCTCTGATCATTTTTCCCAGCTCTTCCCGGGGGGCGTGGGTCCCTGATCTGTGCACGGACCCCCAATCTACGTGCAGATCAGGGGCCCGTGTCCCGTGGGAAGAGCTGGGGAAATTATCAGAGAGTTGGGGAATCAAATAGGGAGCTAGATGTCAATATCAGAGCAGTTCTTCCCCCTCCCTTTCCTTAGTTTCTGTTTAGCTGCAAGTAAGCCGGCTTCCGACCCCTTTTGTTTCATTTTGGTTCCTCTGTTTTGAGCTAGAAACACGACAAAACAGCTTTGAAATAAAACACCCAGTGAAATTTCGCACAGCCCTACTTTTTAGCTCAGGGACAAGAGGAATAAATATTATAGAAGAAGGACAGTGGGATGAGGCAGTATTAGCTGGTTGTAGAAAACCCACTAATATTCCTCCTCTTTCATCTTTACCAGGCAAGAGATAGAAAGGGTTTAGTTTGCAGGCTCTACAACTCTTCTATGGATCACTTTAAACTAAATCAAAATTATTCACAGGAAACCACCTCTACAGCCAGGGCCTGGGTCTGTGACCTGATACCCTGCCATGCAGTAGCAAGACTAGAGCTACAGACCATTTGGATTACCACCATTCTCTTCCACTTGGCAGCTGGCACTGAGGTTTGCATGCACGAGACCATGTGTTTAAAGTTGTGAAAACTGCTGGTCCCAGAATACCAACAAAATAAGAGGTTTGAACAATGTGTATGGATGATGATGGAGTAGTTTTGAGGCTGTTTGCAACTGTACAGCAGGGGTCAAAGGTGGCAAATGGTATCGCCTCAGAATAAACAACAGGCCCGGTTTTGCATGCCCAGAAGTTACTTGCATCTTTTTTCATGCCTCTGGGTCTTTGTATGGAAACCAGTTGATTATTTACTTATCTGTTTGTGGCAGAGCTGCACAGTGGATTTGATTTTCCTCTCACTATAGGAAAATCTCATTATAGCAACAGGCCAGCTGTCCCCCTGAAACATTTTGCAGCAAGTATTTGAAGGATGAATCAGCTTTTGCTGAATGTTAAGTCGCAGTGAGTATAGCTTTGGTTTAACCTGGCTGAGTTAGCCTGGTTGGAAATATAAACCATCCTATGTTCAGTGCAACTGACAGAAAATCAAAATAAAGCCAAAATCAAAATAAAGCCAAAAATTCACACTGGAGCTATTAAATTCATTAGCTGCCCTAGTTTCTTACAGATGGGAGCAAGGTGTGGTTAGGCAGAAATTGAAAGGGTAATAGGTTACATAGAATCAAAAACAGCCAGCCTGTGAAGGTCACACTCTCCTTGCTCTGTTGTGATATTATTGGGTGACCTGCAACTAACTCTTCTCACTCTCCTGTCATTGGTTCATCTAAACACATCTCTGCAAACATTGTTTTGTGCAATCAGTGCATTTGAAGGATAGGATATGTCACTCCAGGAAGCTGCCCTTTAAAATGCAAGAGAGAGGAGCCAGCCTGTTTATTCCCCTGAAGAAATAAGTGAAGCATCTTTATTACAGGACATTTTGAAGGAGGAATTGCTCTGGTGCTTTGGTTTCAGTGCTGTCAAACCCAAACGGAAGCCCTTTTTAAAGCTTAGACAAACCACCTTAACTCAAAGCAGGAAGCTCTGTGCCCTGGCATTCACCAATCAGATAAAGGGAAGGGTGGGACGGCTGTGCAGCTTGCATAGTATTCACAGGCAAGGAAAGGGAAATGACATGCCAGCTTCAGCATTTCACGTGCAGTAACTGTTTTGGGAGCTGTGTAGGGATTGCACTGTAGCCTCTGCTGGAATGTAAAGGGAGGAGGTAGGGGGGTTTCTATAGAACAGGGTGGCAGATGGCTGAAGGAAGCTACCCAAACAGGCAGGCTGGTAGTGCCGGTTTCCTTCAGAGAGATACTGGGGACTGCCTGGAACCCCAGAGCAGTGACAGTCATGGTGCCAACTTCGGTGCCACAAATGGAAATGCAGGTAATGTAAGGAGAGCAAAAATAGAATCAGCCGAGGAATTCTAGCATCCACCCCCAGCTTGTTTTCTGAGACGCAGCTTTCCTTATTTCCTGCCTTGCTGCCTTAGGTGCTGGTATTTACCAGGATCTATACCCTGGCAATAACTCTGGGGCTGGGAAAAACACTAGGGAGTTTCCACTCGTCTTTCAGGGTGCATGGGGGGAAGGGGAAAGAGGGGAATGAAGGAAGCTGCATTTTTTTTCCTTGTTAAAGTACTGGATGTGCAGGAATCAGGTTTGTATAGGCTTTTCCAGATGGACATGTGCAGATCTACAAACTGAACTTTGTAAATCTGTGTTTTGTTTGTTTTCTATGCTCCTATTCATTTGCCATTCTCTTAAGGAAGTACAAGCCCATGGAGTAGGTTTATACATATGCATGTGCAGGATGTGTGTGTGATTTATCTGTGTTTCCATATGTGTGTGTGCATGTATATGAAATCACTGGCTATTTTTTCCTGTATTGATCTGCCATTTTAAGCCTACCCAGTTGTCCTCCAAACTGAAATGGATTTCAGTTGGGACTTTCAAAGGATCCAGGCTCCTGACTTCCACAGGAGTTTCTCCTTCTGTCTCTCAGTAGAAGCTGTTAGGCTGCTTTCCTAGCTCATGGAAGTTTGGTGCCCAGATGCTGTTGAAAATCCCACTGTTAGCATTTACAGTTCTGTCCTTGAGGGCTGGTTATAGTAATCCTAGCTCCTATGTAGCATGTTTCTTCAGTAGATCTCAAAGCCCTTTCAAAAGAAGGTCAGTAGTGTTATCCTATTTTTTTTTCTTTTTCCAGATGCAGAAACTGAGGCACAGAGAAGTGAAGTGACTTGCCCAAGGTTACCCGATAGGCCAGTTGCAGAACTAGGAAAAGAACCCAGGTCTCTTAAGCGCAAATCTAGTGTTCTACCCATTAGACCATATTGATTTGCATAACAGTCATGTTTCTCCATTATAGAGAAAACCCAGTACTGCCTGCTCATAACAGCCTTAATGGCATGGTCCATGCATGTTGTCTCACATATTTACTGTATTCTTGAAACAAAGTGCCTTATCAGTATCTGAAAAACAGAATATGAGCCAAATTTTCACAATGGTCAGATTTTCAAGTGCTCAGAACTGCTAATCAGGACTGCTTTTGAAAAGATCTCAGCTGCTCCTAGTTGGGCACTGATCAGGACCAGAGTTTGCAAACTACCATGTACCCAGCAGCTGACATTGTGACACATAGGTCCATATTTCTAAATGACCTCAAGCCCCAACATGCACCCAGGGTGCAGAAGTCCTGGGGGAATCTGACCACATATATTATTGCCTACATAGGAGCACAGTCCCTTTGAAAATTCTGATCTATGTATGTGGGAGCGAAGCATGTAAAACCTGTTTGCTAAAACTAATGACTAATTTGCCATTTGCCTATAATTAAGACTGAAACTAAGTTTCCCCTTCAGTTTTTATGGAAGCACTGTTTAACAATGAATGAACCTCAGAAGTTCCATATATAGCCTCCAACACTAATCTCCGGATACTTCATCTGAAGTACACAAATGATCTGTGCCTTCTGGGTCTGCTGAATTGGTCTACAAACCTTGGCAGAATAGCATCTTTCAACACATTTTGGTACTTCTTTATTGCTAGCTGCATCTAGGAAAGACAGAGCTGATCCTGAGGCATAGCAGAAGAAAAGCCTTACCTGAATACTTGTAACTTGAGCAAAGGTTTTTTTCTGGATTTGTCCAAATTGTGGTTGAAAGGTTAGGTCATTTCCGTCTACCCATCCTTAGTGGGTGTCAGCTTGTTTTGTTGCATCATATAGTCTCAGCAAGTGCTTCCCTAGTGCTGAACCTTATCTAGAAGGGTTTGATAAGTGAAAGTGGTAGTCTAGAAGTTGGAAACATTTAGACCCAAATTCTGTTTCACCTCTAAGGCACAATTCTGATACCCTGAAAAAACATTAACACAATAGGTGAGCTTTTTTCACTTTTAAGTCTAAAGTGACAGCATGTTACAAAGAATTGATGTATTAATGGCTTTTCAAAGCCTCAGAGTTGGGTAGGTTCTCACTTAGGCATCTTATTGCTCAGAGAGGATTTGGGCCTTAATATTTATGTGAGCAAGGAGAAGCCTGTTTGTACAGTAGAAGAGCTAAGTTAAAGGAACAAGAACTACATTTGGAAGGGAACCTGGGAGGGTTTGGAAGTGTGATTAAAGATCATGTGGAGGTCAGGAGCTGATGTTGGTTTGCCAGATTGGGACACAGCTTTATCTATCAGGAAAACGTCATAAATATCAGACCAGTAGGACCATGCAACAAGCTGATTAAGGAAATTGTAGAATCCTTCTAAGAAGTTTGCAAAAAGAAGCTGGTTAGGAACAGCTCATCTTGCTCCTGTGTAGGGGGTTGGATTAGATTACCCTGAGGTCCCTTCCAACCTGATGGTTCTGTGTTTGGCACCTGGAATAAGGTGACTCAGGAGGGGCAGGAGTATTTTGGTTTTTGAGGACCTGATTTGCATACATAGCCAGGTTTACCAAGCTGGGGAGATTCCCTAGGCTGCTTGGATCCCTCATGGCTCATCAGTACTATAGCAGAGGCCTGTCTATGCCAGCCACAAGCATGCTCCTGTCCACCTGTGCATCTAATGAGGCCACTCTGGGGGCATCCCAAGCAGTTGCTTTCAAGCACACCAGAGACTGTGGTCTTGGGAGTAGCCACAGGGGGTCAGCCCGGAGAACCTTCACTAGCTTATTTCCTGGTCTAGAGAGTGCACCTGCTGGGACAGGTGTGGCCAAGTCTTGCTTGAGAATGACCTAGCTGGGACATGTTGCTGCTACCTCAGTGTAAACAGGCCTTTGGGTTACATTTCTGTAAGAAGACAGCACTGATAGCCACCATGCTGCCTCCTGCAGCTGACCAGGTCATAGCCTCAGCTCTACCTCACTGGAAAGGCAGGTGACTGCCCTACATTCAAAAGCAGTGGGATAATTTTTCTTCAGGCTCCTCCAGCAGTAGGTAAAGAGAGAGAGAATGAGGTAAAGAGCTGGGGCATGAGGAGGGTTTAGTGGATAGGGAATTGAGAGTAGTGAAGGGAAGGATGGAAGGAGTCCAGAAGACATAATGAGGAACAGGAAGGGGAGAAAGACACCAAGAGAAACCAGAACAGCAGAGTTTGGTGCAGGGAAATGGTGCAGGTAGACACCTACTTGCACTCAAGAGTGTGTGAAGATCCTGGCCCATATCATGCGCCTATTGTTCTGGATGCTATGCACATCTTATTTCTCCCCCTTCAAGCCTTCTATGCCTGTGCTCCAGTCAGCTTTACAGATACCATGCCTTCCCTCTGGGCACTGATCTGATGCATTATCTTCCCCTCTAAAGACAGGCCTTTCATTTCCCCATACCATCTCCAGCTCTGTCTAGTGCTGTGGTTAGCATTGCAATGCCACTTTGCTTTGTATGCTGGCAGCTGCTAACCATTGCTATCAATGCCCTGCTGTGTGAGGTGAGTGAAAGCACAGGCTGGGGGAGAGGCAGTGTCTTCTGGACTAACGCTAGTGGCCCTGTTTCCAGCGCAGGTCGTAATCTGAAGGAGTGGCTGAGGGAGCAGTTCTGTGACCACCCTATTGAGCACTGTGAGGACACGCGGCTGCATGATGCTGCCTACGTGGGGGACCTGCAAACACTCAAGAGCTTGCTGCAAGAGGAGAGCTTCCAAAGGTGTGACCTTTGCTCATCCTCCCACTACCCAACCCCACCCATCTCTTTTCCCCCACATCTCTTAGGGCTCCTATACATGTGCAGGGAGGATGTTTGCATGCGCTGTAATTACAGCATGTTGGAGCAGACTTGATCAATCAAGGCTGCTGGAGCATGGTAATTACCATGTTCCAGCAGACTCCAGTGTCATGTGTATCAGTGTTCAGTGCCCGCTACCAATTTTCAGCATGGGATGCTGATACACGTGACACTCCAGGCACTTTTATTAGCATGGCTCTTGGAGCTGTGTTAATTAAAGCGCCCATCCCCACTTCCTCCCCCCATCTCCCAGAGCACATATATAAATGTCCTTAGATGCTGCTCTATATGCAATGCTTCCTCTGAAAGGCTTAGAAGATGGTGGGGAAGCTCCTGGTTCCTTTAGATAAGCTATAAGCTACCAAGTAGGGCCAGATCTCCAGCTGGCATAAACCAGCACCACTGCAGTGACCTCAGTGAAGCCACATCCATTTACACCAGGGTGGGCAAAATATGACCCATGGGCCAGATGTGGCCCACCAGGCCATTCTATCCAGACTGTGGGGTCCCTAAAAATGTAGAAAATATTTATCTGTTCCTGGCTGCCTGTCAAAGATGAGAAGAGCCAGGGGCAGTAGGACTCAGGGGGAACCTCAGCAAGAATGCAGCAGCCCAGCCCCCCCCACCCCTAGCTATTTCCCTGCCTTCCTGCCCCCACACTGCTCTGTGGGGTCCCTAAAAATGTAGAAAATATTTATCTGTTCCTGGCTGCCTGTCAAAGATGAGAAGAGCCAGGGGCAGTAGGACTCAGGGGGAACCTCAGCAAGAATGCAGCAGCCCAGCCCACCCCACCCCTAGCTATTTCCCTGCCTTCCTGCCCCCACACTGCTCCAGCACCATGTGGCTCCTGGCTGCATTGCCAGACTGGGGAGCATGGGGCCTACGTTGGTACCAGTGTGTGTGTGTGTGTGTGTGTGTGTATGTGTAGGGTGAGATCCACACGTACACCCCACCATACACATACACCCACATCTCCTCTCGCACTGCCATACACGCAGACCCACACAGCTCCCCACAAACCCCATACCCACCCACGCCCCACATATCCACATACACACCCACATGTTCCCTCACACCACCCCTACTCCCCCACACCTATCCACCCTCCACAGGTACACCCACACCCTCCCCCACACCCGACATATCCACACAGCCACACACCCACAGCCCCCCACAAACTTATACCCACCCACAATATACAAGAGTAAGACTTCATTTAAAGCTATTATATACAATCACCTCTGTGTAGACTGGTATTTTTCTGGTTCGGAGATGTCAAAACCCCTTGCTGAAAGGAGTACTTCTTAGGGCAAGGGGAGGGACTTCTGGTGGCAGAGGTCAGGGGTTAGGAGGCGGGACTTCCAGTCAGAAGATGGCAACCAGGGGGTGGGGCACGTATCAAGTGGCGGAGCTACCCATGTGGCCCTCAACAGCTTGCCAAAACTGGGTAAGCGGCCCTCTGCCCAAAATAATTGTCCATCCCTGATTTACACCTGCTAAGGACCCAGCCCACTGACTCAGGTGGAGCAACAGAGATTTATGCCTACTGGAGATTTAGCCTGTTAGCTCCAACAGTGGGACAGCAATTGACACAAGCTGGAAATCTGGCCCACATATGTGGCAGGTTCATTACATTTCTTTTGATCAAATCAGTGCAGTTTAGCTTGGGTCATATGAGTTCCTCAGGGCTTTGTGGGTAGTATTGGGATTATCTGTTCCTATAATATTGGCAGTCATAGGCCAAGCTTCCTGTCTCAGCTATGCCAACGCCTGTCCTCATGATCTGCTCTGAAGGCATCATCTGGAAGGACATGGGAGCAGTTTTTTCCCCTGACCTGTTTCATTCATGGCCTCTCAAGTGTGGCCACTATGCAGTGGGTTTGTTTCTCTGTGGGGATACTGAATACCTAGTATTTATCTCATTTCACATACAGCCAGATGCAGGATAGTCAAATGTTGTTAACTGCATGTGCATATGTTTGGAGAGGGAGCTTCAAAAAGGCCAGGGGTGGAGGGACAAGCTGAAGGCTGATTCAGAAAAAATATATAGATACCCCCTGTTTCAGCTGGTTCTTGTTAGAACCTCTCAAAATTACAATTCCTCCGAGTCATCCTTTCCTCCTCTACCCTGTGCATCCTTGGCAAGCTGTTACTGAATCAGGCAGTTTGTCCTCTAGTGCTTAGAAGGTACAGGGATCTTCAGGGAAGAATTGACTGTCATACATTACACCTGTCTTCAAGAGCACACTGATCCCTACACCCAGTACCGCTGAACAACTCAGTCCTTTAAAATGTTAAGAGTATCCTTGAATTTTACACCTCTGGAGCCCACTGCCAGAACTGCAGACCTCATGGGCATGCAGGAAAGGAGGGGAGATGAACACCTGCTCCAGTATTTCCATATCATTAGCAGATCCCTCAGTACACTCTGAGCTGTGAGCTTTCTCAGCTTAAAAGGGGCAGCTTGGTGGGACCCAGTGGGCTCTTAGTATTGGCAAAAATACCTTGCTTAATTTACAGAGGCTTCATCTCTGGTGACAGGCTGCTCAGATACCCCTTGATATTACCCAGAGTAATCCCAGCTGAAGTAGATTTCAAGTTTGCAATGTAAGGTTAATAAATATCCAGCCTCCACTTATGAATACCCTTCAGATCATCATGGAAATATAATAATGTGAAAATAGGAGTCAAATATAATGACAAAACCATACAGAAGACATTATAATAAACTATAAACTGAAACGCCCTATGTAAAAATATATATACATATATTGGTCAAGTTAATGTCTATGGCTGGTGGGGGATTTAATTAGTTTTCATGTATTGTGGAATAAACTGCTGTTGACCCAACTTGGGGTATTTAATTAGTTTTCCTGTATTGTGGAATAAACTGCTGTTGACCCAACTGAAGCCTTAAGTTGCCTTTTCAGCAAGAATCAAAAGGAGGCAGCCCTTCCAAAATTGTAGCACAACTTTGGTAGTTCTCCCTTTTTTATGCAGTCTGCTAAGTTTTGTCAACTTTCCATCTGTTACCTTTTTGTGCCTTACTTAATTTATATTAGTATGAAGAAGGCCTGGTGTGCCAGGCACTGTACATGAGCATACTGAGAGGCAGGTGCAAATAATTTGTTGTCTGTAGAAGGCAACATAGAGCTGTAGGGTTAGAAAGTGCTTTGTCTGGTGTAATTTATACTGTTCTGATGAATGAAAGGGACTTTACTTGTAAAACATTTTTTAATGCCAGTATATGTGCACCTATGTGAGGACTTTTGTTTGTATAGAAAGGATGTGAAAAAAAATCACACCCACCCCTACATGACCCAAATTACTAATTCTTTCCTGCCTTCTCCCTGCCATTCTTCCTTCTTTTAGACTCATCTCATTGCACTTAATGCTTCCAGGTGTAGCCTCAGGGTGGGTGGGTACATGGTCTGGCTTCTCCTGTACATGGCTCCGGGCAGGTTTTAAAAGCATTTTTAAGATGTTCTGTCTCTAGCAAATCTTGTTTGTAAATGATCAGTTTGCTAGTGCAATGGTGGCTAATTTCTGTCCTTTTATAATATTATATTATATAAGCAGAAATGGAAATATATCTTGGAGAAATAGAGGGCTTTACTCTTTGAGAGGAAAGGTGGTGGGGTAGTTAAAGTGGAACCTAGGTGAGATCTGTCTTGGTCCCTAGCTCTGTTGCCGTCTGCCTTTGAGCAAGTCACCAAATCTCTCTGTGCCTTGGCTCCCTATACATTAAATATGGATAATAATTCTTCCTTGGTCTATTTAGATGGAAGGCTCTACAGGGCAGAGGTTAACTTATCCAATGCTTATGGCATGTAGCTCAAAGGAGTCCTGATGTTGGCTGGGATTTGTAGGCAGTAGCATAGTATACGTGACCTGTGAGACTCCTTGAGACAAGACACAAAACTTAGAGGGAATGTACCTCTGACTTATCCAGGCATGCAGGGCTGTAGCAAAGCAAATACCATGTGTATTCACACATTATGCTGACATGTTGCTTTGCCCCTTCTGCTCAGTCGAATCAACGAGAAGTCTGTGTGGTGCTGTGGTTGGCTGCCTTGCACCCCCCTGCGAATTGCTGCCACTGCTGGCCATGGCAATTGCGTGGACTTCCTCATCCAGAAAGGGGCAGAGATCGACCTGGTGGACGTGAAGGGGCAAACCGCCCTGTATGTGGCCGTTGTGAATGGGCATCTGGAATGTGTAAAAATCCTGCTGGAGGCTGGTGCAGACCCCAACGGGAGCCGGCACCACCGCAGCACTCCTGTGTACCATACCTCCCGCGTGGGCCGGGCCGACATCCTGAGAGAACTGATCAGGCAAGTATTGTTTGCCCCTTCTAATTCCCACAGAAGCCTCTATTTCTGTGGTGTCATATCTTATATGCAGCATCCAAAAGCCATGGTTAAAGAAGGCCAGAGGTCTGCTTAGTGTTGTTAAAGCAGAACAGTGAGTGTTCAAACCTATAACACTAACTACCTTCGGTCTCCTCAACATCTTGTCCCTGGCTTCCTTCCCCTCACAATATAAAAATATCCTGGTCTCCTCCATCCCCAGAAAACCTTCCCTCAGCCCCCATCACCTCACCTCTTCCCCACTCTTTAAGTCACTGAATGCAGCATAATTTACAATCAGACAGCTGGTTTCCTCAGCTCTGTTGTGGGTGCCAGCTGTACTGGCTTCCAGTGCCACAGCCCTTGCTAAACATTCCCCATTTCAGTTCCGTCTGCTCCCTCCATATCTGCTGCTGCCTTTAATTTAAGCCTCCTGTGATCACCTTCAAAGCTCGGCATAATTTCCCTATGACTGATTTATTTTCCCTAAGCATCCCTGCTCCACCCCGTTTTACCTGCCTCTTGGTCAGATGCTTATACCATCATCTCTGAACCTTCATCTGCACAGCTGTCTGCGCATGCTGTCACCTGCCTGGGCCCATTAATAAGGTTCTTACTTTGGCCTCTTCTAAATCCTGTTAACAACCCACCTTTGCTCTAAAGATTTTATGTAGTGTCTGTCATCATCTGCTTCTCCCATCTCTTTCTATCCTTAGGAGCATGTGAATTAAACAGAATAGAGACTACCCCTTCTCAAGAGTTTGGAAGGTGCCCAGCCAATGTATAAATAAACATTGCAATACTATGCTTAACACCTCCTTAATTAAAGAGCAGTGATGTTACCATATGAGTCAGTCTCTGGTAGGTGGAGGAGTAAATTCGCTCCCTCTAGTGGTAGGTACTGGAAGGGGAATGTTGTATAAATCAGTGAAAAGTGGTGGAAAATAAAGATACTGAATAGCATGTCAGCTAAGGGGACAGATGCTCCATTTTGTTTCTTGGGGATCATGCATTTCATTTTGCAAGGCTAATGAGATTGAAAAAAACCCAGGGAAAGATTTTTGGTCTATAGGCAAAGCACCTCAGTAAGATGCATTGTTGTAACACCCTCCTGGGTGTGAGAAGCCATTCTGCAAAGCCCAACATGACTCACCGTATACTCTGTGGTGCTACTGCTGTGTTACTATGGCTTTTGGAAGCATAGTTAATGTTTGTGTGATGTAGTAAGCTGAGCCACTCTGCGTCTCTCCCAGTCAATTGTGGAGAACACATATGAGCCTTTAGGCACACAGGCAGAATTGTGGGAAGGCACTGGGGGACGATTGCCACTTGAGTGGTTTAGCCTGCGTTTTTCTTGCAAATTGGGTGTGTTAGTAATACCAGTGAAGCTGCACATGAACTTTAGCCTACAACCACAAGGGAGCCAGCTAGCCCAAGTTCATAGCACCATGAAATGCAGGCAGGGCTTGAGCCAACAACTGATGGAGCCCAAGATAACTCTATGGTAAAGGCGTATGCTAAATATGGATGCGGGAATCCTGCTTTGTGGAAATCAGAACCTGTTGCTCATTATGAGCTTATCGTAGTCATAATACTGCATTTGATCTGTGGACAGTCTGGTCTACTATCCTGACTCCAGAAGTGGCGAGTGCCAACTGCTCAGAGGAAGGTGCAAAAAACGCTACCCTGCTCTGTGCCCCAGCAAATTTCCTCCTTGTGTCTAGTAGCTAAAGGTATTGCTTTAAGGTATTAAGCAAGGTTGTTGGGACCAAATTGTTAGTGCAGTTTTAGGACTAGATTAGACATGGGATGGTTTGGATTGGGATGTTCCTGTTTTGAGTAGGGAGTTGGACTAAATGATCTCTCAAGGTCCCTTCCAGCCCTACTTTTCCATGATTCTATGATTCTTAACAGACAGGCTCAAAGCTTCTGTTAGTGAGCTTTGTTTCATGTCCTGAGATCACCAACTTTCTCATGGCCTCCAGGCTCTTTGTCTAAGGGGTTCTGCCAACACCTTTATGTGTGCTATGAAGCTGCCAGATCATAATATATTTTTTTTTAAAAAACAAAAAGATACAAAAGGTTATGTGATTACCCACAGAAATGCCCTCCAAAGAGTTCTATTTGATAGTATATGACGGCAGAAAAACTTGGATGAATTATGAGGATTATTTGAAATACTTGGGGAATTTTTCCTTCTTTGGGTTAGGAGGAAAAGTTTTTAAAGGAAGTACACCTTTAAGGAAAATGTCTAATGGAAAAGTGGAGAGAAAGGAGGGGACATATTATTTTGTAAGATGAGACAAGGATGTCCCCATCAACCATGCTATTTGCGTTGGCTCAAAATTTGGGCTCAAAAGTGACATTCCTTAGAATCTCCCCCAATATATCTGCTAACACAGAATGAAATGTAGCAAAATGGTATTTCAGAGCATGATGAGCTGAGGTATTGATTTATATGTCTACCCCTAATGATACCTTGCCAGCAATATTAAAAGCGAGAGTCTGGAAAACTTTCAGGATTAAAAATTAACTGGAGTTTGTCCAATATCTTTTTATTAGGCAATGTCAGTCCCAAGGCTGCTAAGTTAATACCAGATTGTCATATTGCCCAAGATTTCAATATCTTGGAATACAGATTTCAGAGATCTTTTCAGAATGGCTTAGTTTGAAACACAATCCTATGTTAAAAAGCTCAGTAAAAGATTTTATTATTGCTCTAAAATACTCCTTTTCCACATAAGTAACAAAATGACAATTTTTTGCTAAGATATAATTATGCATTTCAGACTACTGCTGTTGAAACAGCACCCTTCTCTGTTACCAAGAGTTCTCAAAAATATACACTCAGTTCCTTATCAGTCAATGAGATTTTTTTTCCTGTTAACATAGGCTCTTTCCAGTTCCCTTTATTCAGGCATTTTTACTCTACCGATTTTTTTTTTTAATCGTATGGTAACACATTTATAGTTCCTGGACTCCTGAATCCAACCACAATTGCTGAACCAGATTACTAAGCAGTAAGTAGGAGCTGATAGGACATTATATGTGAAACTCTATCGACTAATAGTAAATACACACCTAGCAATGGAATGGTAATCCATTTTCTAGTAAGACTCTGGAGGAAATATTTACAATTATATTGCTAGGGTATGGATTGCTTTCCTAACAGCTTGTTATGCAATCATCCTGTGTTGGGATGGAATATTGCATCATACTTTCAATCTAGCTGAGGGCTGATCCAAGATATTAGGTGATATGTGTATTCTGCTCATTTCATTAAAAGCAGTGTAAAAAAAGTCAGTGGTGAATTGAGTCAGTTTCTTAAAAAGGTGTCTATTTTTATTTTAAAAAGCATAATTAACATACTGGTTTTTGCCACAGAAAATATTAATAAAAAGGGAGAGGGGAGGGGAATTGTAGAATTTTAAGGGAGTGCCTAGCAGTGGTATATACTGTAGGACAGTCTGGCCAGGGGTCCAGACCCATAGATAGAAATTGGGCACAGTAGACACACAAATTATGAATGCCATGAAACACTACACAGCATGTACCTATAGAAGTAGCTTGTTTTTAGCCTAAATATTTTGGTTTTCTAATAGTCATTTGTTTGACAAACTGAAATCTTCCACGGAAAGCAGGCACTTTTTATTAAAAATTGAGCATAGTTAAAAACACAATTTCTGGTTGAAAAGCATCTTGATGATATGTTTTTAACCAGCCTTACTAGCTTGTGAAGAGATCCCATTCCTTAGAGTTAGTTGTGTGAGGAGCTGCACTGAGTGGGCTTAGGTTCCTTGCCATTTTCTAGAAACATTTAACATAATTAAAATGTATATCTATACAGAAAGCTTTCAATGCAATATGGCCATGACTCAACTGAGCATACTAAAAACCACTTTGATAGGGGTATCCCCTTACAGAGCAGATGTTCTCTGAATACTCTCTCTCTCCCTTTAGCTTACGCCTTGGCCAAATGAAACGGAGCTGGTGTGTTGTGACTATGGACGAGCAGGGGGATAGCAGCTGCGTAGCTTTCTGTCCTCTGTGCATCCCCCAAAGATCTTTCCAAGATCTTCTGAGGTGTTGGCCTATGTACCATACTTTGGAGAGGAGACTATGCCTTTGGGTAAATATGCTCAAAGTGACAAATACAGCCTTGGACATGCTTGTGTTGACGCCAGTCCTCCAACTAGTTCTGCATGTGCTTAACTGCACACACAAAGTACAGCTATTGAATTCATTGGGAACTTTTTGTGTCTTTAAAGGTAAATCACATGTAGACTTTTCTGCAGGATCAGTGCTATAAACCTCAGTCACTGCACTGAGAGCTGCATAAGCAAGTAGAGAGAATTTGGCCCAAAATGTTTTTCCTATTTGTTTTATTGACTGTAAAGAGGAAAATTATAGTATACAGGAAAGTAGAAAAACCTCATTCTCCAAATGCTTGGATTACAAATCCAAGTGAGTTATTAAAGGCTGGAAGAACATTTTATTACTGTGAAGGGAAAACACAGGACTACTTGATCTAGATTGCTGCAAAGAAACACTTTAAAATGGTTGCTGTTAGAAGGGTAGCCTGCCCCTTGTCCCACATTTCAGTATATATGACATAGATGCAATTATGACATTCAGTAGCTTGTGCTCTCTCTATATTGGATGGGATATAAAATACAGCACATTGCTAATATTTTTATCTGTTACTTGCAGCATTGCAGTTTTTCAAAAGAAATATTTTTTAAAGGAGGCAAACATTCTCTGTGCCATCCCTATTTTCCTGCCATCACTCAGCTTGAAATCAGACACTCATATTTGCTGTTCAGTCAGTATATGATAACATTAGTACATATATCTATAGCATAACAGAATAGGTTCTCAATGTATGGGGTGGGATTTTGTCACCGATTTGTACTGGATTGACAGCGCTCGCTCAAATCTGCTGACTTCAATAGGTGCTGAGTCCCACCCAAGCAGAAAGGCTATGAGAATCCTTCGCTGAAATTGTTTTGCACTGTACCATTAGAACCAACCGTTCTCACTCTGCCTGATCTACAGGAACTGTGTTTGTTGCAGCCCCAGCTAAGTGATGGTGTTTTCACTCAAGCTGTAGCAGCCTGTGGGTTTTGCCCAAAAAGTCCCTAGTTCAAACCTTGGTGTATGGACCAAGATAGCTGCTGTCACACCAATAATAATTGGAGTTTAAAATATCCCATGCAGTGTGATGGCATGCTAAATGTAATCAGTAACATGATGATTCATATGTTTTTTAATTTTAGCATAGGAAAATACAAATGGCTATGAAGGGATGGTTGGAAGCCTGACAGGATTATTTTATATTTTCCCCATTTCCTTTGGGCTTGGAATTTGGTGCATTCATTTAGCATGAACTTCTGAATACAGGGGAATATGCCTGCATTTGACTTTGACTGGATTTCAACTATCCAAGTTCCCTCTGGAACAAGAATCATGAAACTTGTTACATACCTCTGTTGAACAGCAGTATTTTTTTTTGGTTTCCTTTGGTGTTTGCAGCAGTCAAATCTGTGGCTCTAACACATTGGCTCATCATTGTCTCCCAGGTGGGGAAGTTATTTTCATGCATCTACAACACTCCTTCAGTGAGAAGCTGAGTCATTTGGACAACCCCCAGACACACCATTAATGGTAGATTTTCCATGCAGCTCACTCAAAGCTGAACTGTCAGCTGTAGTATGAAGGTGCTTAGTGTGGTCATTAGTGGGAGAAGAGAAAAGTGTTTTGGAGTCACCCCTTCTCTCTCCTGATCATGGAGCTATTAAAACCACTCTATTTAAACCACTTGGCCAGCTGAATATGGTGAGGGCTGTGCACTCCTTGTTCCATCACCAGCAGTCCCTCCCTGTCTCTTTATAGGCTTGTCTACATGGGGACACTTAGGAAAACTCATCCGAATTAACTTTTAAGGTGGATTAGCTACACCACATTACTAATTTGCGTGGACTCTCTCATTCAGAACCAACAGGGCCTTAATTCAGTTTAGCTTAGTTCACTTTGCAAGTGACTTAAACGATATTGAATTAAAGGCCACTTTAATTCTGAATAAGTGTCCACACTGGGCTTTGATGCAGTTTAATTCATCCATTCCAGATTCACACTTGATTGTTTCAGGTACACTTCCCCAAATGTCCTCAAGTAGACAAACCATTTAAGGGAGATGTCCAAATGGGAAAGGGCAGGGTATATTGGGAGCACTATCTCAGTGCCCAAATCTTCAGGACCCTAAATTTGATCCCGTGAACATTTAACACAAGAAGTCAGGTTTGTTCTTGCAGCTCATTCACTCTTAATTCTTTGAGTAATGGGCCATATCTTGAGTTCTGTGGCAGCTGCTTTCTGCTGCACAGATATAAGGGAATACCTTGTGTGTGGAGGGAGGGGTGGGAGGAAGGAGTGTAAAACTTCCATATTCATCTCTGTGCCATCCTGTCCTCTGCTCCTGAAAGCATATCCTTGACGGTTTAGGGAGTGCTGCATGGCCCAAATGACCAGGTAGTAGTCCTCAGGAGAGGGAAGTTGATTCAGGGCATTAGGGATTAGTATGCCAGCCAACAATTTGGGAAATCAGATTTTAATGTCTTGCTCTGCCACAAACTCCCTCTGTAACCTTGACTAGGGCCCTTAGTCTCCTTTTGCCTCAATTCTCCATATATAAGATGAGGATGTTGGCCTGAACCTGCCCAATGGGGATGTTGGGAGGCTAGATATAGGCATTTCCATGATGAAGTGCCAGGAGCCAGAGGGTTCCCAGAGTCCTTTCCCTCTGAATTACTGGATGGCTAGAGAATTATACCTGTGATAGGGGATGGGGGTGAGGAGTCTGTGCTTTCTGGTCTCCTCTGTGATTTCCAGCTTATACATGCACCTGAACTGAAGTTGATGCATTCATTCCTTTTGAGGGCTGATTCACTCATCTGCCTTTCTCTCAAAATGGACCTTGCTTTTCCTGCTCAGGTATGGAGCTGAGGTGGATGTTAACCACCATCTGGCCTCACGGATGCCCAGCCTGTCCTCGCGCCCCCTCACCTCCCTGGTGGTCTGCCCTTTGTACATCAGTGCTGCCTATCACAACCTTGAGTGCTTCAAGCTACTGCTCCAAGCAGGAGCCAACCCTGATTTTAACTGCTGCGGTCCTGTCAACATCCAGGGCTTCTCCAGGGGCTCCCCGGTCTGTGTGATGGATGCTGTCTTGAGACATGGCTGTGATGCAGCATTCATCAGCCTCCTGATTGACTTTGGAGCCAACTTGAACCTAGTGAAGATGGAGGCCCTGGGTACAGAATCAACAGGAAGAATCAAAGTCAACCCAGACGCCTTGCAAGTGTTCAAAGAAGCCAGGAGTAAGTAGGAGAGTCCTTGGCCACTGGCTTACCAATGCTGCAAAGAGATAAATGCAGCATGCTGCATGCTGTTAAACAGACAAAGGTCTCTCCATGGCAGGTTTGAGGCAGTCCAGTGCCATAAGTACACCATGATGAGGGGTTCCTCATTGCCCCCCATCATGGTCTTGCCAGTAAACCATGGCTGTACCCTTCCAGGAGATGACAGAAAGTTTCAGAGTTAAGTTGAATGAGGAATTTCACGCATCCTATAAAGCGGTTGTTTTGGGATTTCTGTAAACCCCAGCAGGTCTTAGCTACACCCAAGGGATGGGTCAAACTTTTATTGTGTCTACCAGGGCTAGATACCAGAATATTTTAAACATGAGAGCTGGGATTCTGATCCCACCCTGTGAGTCCAGGTGGTGGATCTAGAGTGCCTGTGGTTTCATTTAGTCCTGGATGGGATGCCTCATCAAACCCATACCTGCCATGCAATGAAGGGTTTCAGAACTACTTGCTGCTGGAACTGGGACAGGCTGACATGACTAACATGAAAGGCTTCCTCAGAACAGACGGGTATCATAGAATTATAGAGAAGTAGATCTGCAAAGGACTTCCAGAGGTCATCTAGTCCAAACCCCTGTCTGAGGCAGGATCATCCCTATCCAAACCATCATATACAATCCATAATTTAAACTCTACATAAGACTACTATCAACCCTGACACAACCATGGCAACCAATGTTCTACTTCTGTAAAAGGTTGTCAATATATGCTGAAGATACTCTAGATAGAGGGTCACACCCCTTGCTACAGATGGCAAAATCCCTCACAGTCCACACCAATCTGACCATGGGGTAAAATTCTTTCCTGATCCCCAATATGGTGATTGGTCTGATCCTGAGCAGAGGGGCAAAACCCTCCAGCCAGGAACCTCTGGTTTTGGTTCCAGCAGAAGCTTTGGAACACCCTAGTTAAATTACCCAGCCTTGGCTGTAGCCAGCACCCGATGCCTCTGAAGAAGGCTTAAAAGCACCCTGAGACATGTAGTGGAAATGGGGCCATTGGAGGTATTTGTGCTCCTTTGGAATTTAGGCCCAAGGGTTCATGCTGTAGGAAGCCATTAAGGCCAGCACCATTTGCAGTGTACCCAGAGAGAGACAGCTAATCCAGGTTAGACCAACGGAACCTCACTATTCCTGGTAAAAATAGACTTTCATAGATTCATAGATGTTAGGGTCAGAAGGGACCTCAATAGATCATCGAGTCCAACCCCCTGCATAGGTAGGAAAGAGTACTGGGTTTAGATGACCCCAGCTAGATACTCATCTAACCTCCTCTTGAAGAACCCCAGGGTAGGGGAGAGCACCACCTCCC